TGAACTGGACACGGCTAAGATAACGGCATTTATAGTGGGAATTTAAAAACAGAAGAGAAAAAAAAAACGCTCTTCCAAACATGGAGTAACATGAGACTCATTCACTTTCAAGGAGTACAAGTGACAGCGCTGGTGCCCCAAAGAGCCCCTACCCAGGAAACACCCAAACTCTTTCATTTGGAGGGGTTTCCACATACTTTCGGCCATATAGTGACTAAAGCGCCATTTTTTTTTATCCTGCTCTTTACATGCATGGAATCGTGCCACTCTACCTTCACCATCATTTATTGATCTGTAATACGTCATTGGGCCATCACTTACTGGTTGGCGGTAGCTCGTACTCCACCTCCAGTACGACTCTCTCCCCCACGTTCTTCAGCAAGCTGATGATCTCTTCATGGCGGAGTTTTGTCAAGTTGATGCCATTCACTGACTTTATATAATCTCCGATATTCAGCTGGTCACTCCTGGAAGGAAGACATTCACAAGATTGGCTAGTGAGAATTTGGAGGCCCCCTTTTGAGAAGGCCAGATGACATTTTACGACAGTTGTACTAAGATTTCAATAGTTCACCTTGCTGCCAGGCCTCCCGGCCTCAGATTGGACACTCGAGGCTTGCCATCTTTGTCCGTGCCCCCTGAGATGGTCAGGCCCAGTGTGCTTCCTTCTTTCTTGATGAGCTCCACGATGGTGACTCCCCGAAACTCATCTGGGAAAAAAGAAAAACACGGAGCAGAGATAGGAGGAAGCGTGAGTACAAGTTAGGAAATTGTGATGGTGTAAGAACATTTGAAGAAAGACAAAGTGTTTCTTGTTCCAGTTTTGGACGGAGTGTGAAAGGCTTAGTATCCATTCCATGTTTTTTGCTGTGTTTTTGGTAACTGGGGAAGGTGCAAAAAAAGCACCAGAACCATACAGCTATCATATTGCCATCTTACAGGGGAGCTCCACTCACGCTGTCAAAAAATAAAAGTCAGCAGCTACAAAAACTGTAGCTGCTGACTTTTAAAAAACAGTCACTTACCTGTCCCTCGGTCCCGTGGTGTGTCCCCTGTAGCCCGTTTCACTGGCCATCCTGTATTCCAGGAGGCCGACATCTTCAGTGTGGGCACCCGGCTGTGACAGCTTGCGGCTTCACAGCCGGGTACCAACTGCACATGTGCGAGTAGCGCTGCGCTTCATGAATGGTCCTGTAGTCTTCTGGGACCTGTCACATGTCCCACAAGACTACAGGGAGGGAGGGAGGACACCTTCCGTTTCGGATCGCCTAGGCGATCGGACCGGAAGTGGGAGCGGGTACCTGTCAAATTTGTGTACCCGTTTCCCCCCCCGCCCCCCAAAGGTGCCAATCCTTAATGGGGAGCGAGGAAGTAGTCCTTAAAGCGGAACTTCCCCTTTTGGGTGGAGCTCCGCTTTAACCCCTTCATGCCTAAAAGGTAAAACAAACGCCTACGCACAATCTTGCAACTTTGACATGTGTTATCCAAAAACGAAACCAGCGCTCAAATCCTCATGCAGACTAGAAGGAATTCAGAATGCCAAACGAAGAGGTGCAGCCCTTCAAAGATCGGGAAATCTGGATACTAATGTGTTAATTTGACATGTGTTAGTAACACCGTACATATCATCACAACCAGTTGTGTATTTAGGTTTCGTGCTGCCCTGGAAAACACAAAAATGTGCTCCCCCCCCACAAAGAGACCCTGACACCGGCCAACACCCTGCTCTCCCACGAAGAGAGCTTGATTTTGACCAGCAACACCCCGGCCCCCCCCAACCGCCACCCGAGAGAGCCTTCCACTACCACCCCCACTCATACCCTGACAACCCCCTCCACCCTGGCAAGAGAGAAGACACTCAGCTTCACAGCTCCAGATATCCCCGGGAACAAGAGTCAAGCTCTGCATACACCATCAAGCAGCCCCTCTCAGATCCCACCTGGTTCCCATGCTGTGTGTGTCCCTTCTTCATTCCTTCTTTTGGGGGGTGGCGTTGCCCCCCTGACAAATGCCGCCCTAGGCAAATGCCGTGTGGTAAATACACCCCTGATCACAACTACTTTGTACATCCAGGTAAATTATACCGCCTTTTTTTCAGGATATATTGGGCTTTCATTTGGTGGTAAAAGGTAATGGACATCTCCAGATTTTTTTTTTTTATTATGAAAGGAAAACTGGCCCAAGATAGTAAAAAAAAAAATCTTTTTTTTTTAACCACCTCCCATCCGGCCGTTGTATATAAACGGCGGACGGTGGCACTGCAGGGTCCGGTGGCCAACTATAAACGGCCTCCCCGCACTCTGCTTGTGCGCACTCCCTGGGAGTGCGCAGCACCGCGATCTGGTGCCCGCTGTGTCCTCCGGACACAGTGAAACACCGATCGTCGGACGGGACCTCTGTACGAGGTCCCGATCATGTGATCACTGATCAGTGATCACATGCAAAGTAGTAAGCAAGATGTCACTTCTGACATCATTGCTTACTACGTGTGAAATCTGTGAATGATCACAGAGGTCACATGGTACAAGGCTATTCACAAAAGCCATGTACCATGTGACAAGCTGTGACCAATCACAGCTCACTCAGTACTTCTCAATGAGTGCAAGAATGCAGACAGAGAGAAAGAGAAATGATTGCTTTTACATCCTATATGGGTGTAAAAGCAATCAGTGTAAAAAAAAAAATCTTCATCACCCCCCACAAGTAGTACAGTGTCACCATGGTGACAGTATGTAAAAAAGGGTGACAGTATGTAAAAAAAAAAAAAATAATAAAAAATAATAATATAAAAAAATAAAATAAAAATGTAAAAAAAAATGTTTAAAAATGATAATTTTTGCTTATAAACTAATTTGGATTTTTTTTTTTTACTAAAAAGATAACGGAATAAATTGTGACTAAGATTTATGATGAATATTATTTATTTGCAAAATTTTATTAAAAAAACACTTTTTTTCAAAATGTTTGGACATTTCATTTACATAGCAAAATAAAAATCCCAGTGGTGAATAAATATACCACCAAAATAAAGCTTTATCTGTCTCAAAAAAAGGGTAAAAAATTCATTTGGGTACAGTGTTGCATGACCGCGCAATTGTCATTCAAAGTGTGATAGCGCTAAAAGCTGAAAATTGCCCTGGTCAGGAAGGGGGTAAAAGTGTCCGGACTGGAAGTGGTTTATTTAGCTGTGTGTTTCTGGTTACTACCATAACCTACCACCAAAGAACCACCCAAAATAAAGTTTCCAGCTCTTGACGATCGCAGTGATACCATAGATGTGTATGTTATTTGTTCTAGCCACAGTACAGCCCAGAAACAACAGTGCACATTTTGTTTTACCAAAACACACTGACACTGATACCAATTAAAAAAAAAAAAAAAAAAAAAAAAATTCCTGACCTTTGACCTTGACCTAGACTCAAACACTAACCCTGGCACTGAACTTGATCAAACCTTGATCTAGGTTTTTTTTCTTTATTGTTTATTTTATTTTTTAATATTTATCTTTTTTTCCCCTCTATAAAAGGAGAGAGATGCAATGTATCTCTCTCCTCCATTCATAGAGAAAAAAAAAAAACCAAGGGGGCGGGCTGTACAGTGACTGATCACTGTGATAGCCAATCAGAGGCTATCACAGCAATCATGTGACTCAGCATTACTGAAACCGATGCCCTGTATGGCTCTCTCTGCAAGCAGCTGAAAGCTAGTGGGAAGCAGCCACAAACTTTCAGTTGCTGCAGAGAGAGCCATGCAGGGGATCGGTTCCAGTAATTGCCCCCTTGTCACATCGTTCACTCTCTCTGCCCACATCGGATTCACCCAGCTGCCTGGGCTCCTGTGCTGGCCTGGGCCCCGTACAGGAGGATTGGTGGTACCCCCTTATCCACGGCCCTGCTTAACAGAGAGGCAGAAATTACTCACTGCTCAAGCACCTCTGGAGGAACCTTAGGGTCCCATGGATTTCTAGCAGAAAAAAAAAGCTACTTCAAAGTTTACTCAAAGGTCCGAAAAGCAAAAAAAAAAAGTGATTAGGTTTGGAAATGGAAACACCTTGTTGATAAGAGAAGTCAACAGAGAATGGCCAGACTGGTTCAAGCAAACACAAAAGCTATAGAAACTTAATGAATCACTCTTTACAACTGTGGTTAGCAGAAAAGCATCTCAGAATGCACATGTAGAGCCTTGAGGTAGATGAGCTAAGACAGCAGAAGACCACATTGGGGGTTATTTACTAAAACAGGAGAGGGACAAAATCTGGTGCAACTCTGCAAATAGACCAATCAGCTTCCAGGTTAAATTTAAAGTTAAAGGTCAAAGCTTAATTGAACTAAGTTAGAAGCTGATTGGCTGCAATGCACAACTGCACCAGATTCTCAATGCACCAGTTTTAGTAAATCTACCCCATTGGCTTCCACTCCTATCAGTCAACAACCAAAATCTGGGGCTACAGTGGGCACAGATCACTAAACTGGACAGCTGAGGACTGAAAACTGTAACCTGGTCTTGTGAACCATTCACCGCATCCGAATCTAATGGAAAACCATTGGGATGTGGTAGAACAGGAGATTCGCAGCATGAATGTGCTGTAATCATGTCAACATGGACCAGAATCTGGAAACCATGGTATGAAGAACTGAGGACATCTATAGAGCAGGGATCTCCAAACTTTCAAAACAAAGGGTCAGTTTACTGTCCTTCAGATTTTAGGGAAACTGGACTGTGCCGAGTGGGATTAAGCAATGCCCCATCTTTGGTACTGGGGGAGCAATAGTTCCCCATCATTGGTGTTAGTGCCAGGAATTATGCCCCATTGTTGGTGTTCGTGCCAGGAATTACGCCCCATTGTTGGTCTTAGTGCCAGGGATTACGCCCCATTATTATTGTTTGTGCCAGGAATTACTCCCTATCGTTTTGTGTTAGTGCCAGGAATTACTCCCCATCGTCGGTGTTCGTGCCAGGAATTACACCCCATAGTTGGTGTTTGTGCCAGGAATTACGCCCCATCGTTGGTGTTCGTGCCAGGAATTACGCCCCATTGTTGGTGTTCGTGCCAGGAATTACGCCCCATCGTTGGTGTTTGTGCCAGGAATTACGCCCCATCGTCGGTGTTCGTGCCAGGAATTACGCCCCATTGTTGGTCTTAGTGCCAGGAATTACGCCCCATCGTCGGTGTTCGTGCCAGGAATTACTCACCATCGTTGGTGTTAGTGCCAGGAATTACGCCCCATCTTTGGTGTCAGTGCCAGGAATTATGCCCCATTGTTGGTGTTAGTGCCAGGAATTACTCCCCATCGTTGGTGTTAGTGCCAGAAATTACTCACCATCGTTGGTGTTAGTGCCAGGAATTACTCCCCATCGTTGGTGTCAGTGTGAGGAATTACGCCCCATCGTTGGTGTTCGTACCAGGAATTACACCCCATCGTTGGTGTTCGTACCAGGAATTACACCCCATCATTGGTGTTAGTGCCAGGAATTACACCCCATCGTTGGTGTTAGTGGCAGGAATTACTCCCCATCGTCGGTGTTCGTGCCAGGAATTACGCCCCATTGTTGGTGTTAGTGCCAGGAATTACTCACCATCGTTGGTGTTAGTGCCAGGAATTACTCCCCATCGTTGGTGTCAGTGTGAGGAATTACGCCCCATCGTTGGTGTTCGTACCAGGAATTACACCCCATCGTTGGTGGTAGTGCCAGGAATTATGCCCCATTG